CTAAGTATAAAAGTTCTTTTTTTTAAAAAAAAAAAAGAGCTGGGAAGATAGCTCAGTGGTAGAGCGCTTGCCTTGCATGCATGAGGCCCTGGGTTTGATTCCTCAGCACCACATAAGCAGAAAAAAAAAAGCCAGAAGTGGCGCTGTGGCTCAAGTGGTAGAGTGCTACCCTTGAGCTGAAGAGCTGAGGGACAGTGCCCAGGCCCAGAGTTCAGGCCCCACGACTGGACCAAAAAAAAAAAAAACCTTTACTTCTCGCAGCTCTTGAGAGAAATTGGGAGGACCACAGTATAAGGATAAGCTGGGGAAAAAGCTACTAGGTATAATGGCTCATGGCTGTAATCCTAGCTATTCAGGAGGTATGGCTGGCTAAAGGCCAGCCCCAAAAATTGCAAAAAGTTCACAAGACCCCCCACTTCAATGATTAAAAGCTGGGCCCGAGCTGGGCTCCGGTGGCTCACACCTGTAATCCAACTAGCTACTAAGGAGACTGAGATCTGAGGATCACGGTTCAAAGCCAGCCTGGGCAGGAAAATCCATGAGACTCTTCTCTCCAACTAACCACCAGAAAACAGAAAACCAGAAGTGGCATTGTGGCTCAAGTGGTAGACAGCTAGCCTTGAGCTGAAGAGCTCAGGGACACTGCCCAATTCCAGAGTTAAAGCCCTACAATGGTGGGGGGAGGGGGGGTGCTGCGTCTGGTGGTGAGAGCTTGTCATCAATCTGGGCAGGCCTAGGCATAGAGTGAGAATCACCTCAAAAATAACCAAAACAAAATGGGCCTGGAGTCATGGGTCAGTTGATAGAGTTCCCGCTAAGAAGTCTAAGACCAAGGGCTGAAAAGGTAGCTCAGTGGTAGAGTGCTTGCCTAGCATGCATGAGGCCGTGTGTTCGATTCCTCAGTACCACATAAGCAGAAAAAGCCAGAAGTGGCACTGTGGCTCAAGTGGTAGAGGGCTAGCCTTGAGCTGAAGAGCTTAGGGACAGCGTCCAGGCCCAGAGTTCAGGCCTCACAACCGACCAAAAGATAAATAAATAAATAAATCTAAGACCAAATTCAAACCCAGTTCAGGTGAGAAGAGAGGTGGGAAACAAAAACAGAGCTCTATAATGTGACTAATCACCTAATTTATTTTGAATGTTATTGTGTGCAAAGTACTATTTCAGTTGTTAAAAATATAGCAAGACACCCCCACTCTCATAAAGCTTGAATTCTTGTGACAAAAGAAAAACATCACACAAAATAATTAAGAAATATGATTTATCATGTTAGATAGAAGGTAAAAGTGCTATGGAGAAAAACAAGGCATAGAAGAGTTATCTAGAGGGCTGGGAATGTGGCTTGCCTAGCATGCGTTAAGCCCTGAGTTTGATTCCTCAGTACCACATACACAGAAAAAAACAGAAATGGCACTGTGGCTCAAGTGGTAGAGTGCTAGCCTTGAACAGAAATAGCTCAGGGACAATGCCTAGGCCCTGAGTCCAAGCCCCAGGACTGACCCCCCCTCCGCAAAAAAGGGCTGCCCCAAGAAAGAAAGAAATACTGTCTATGAGACCCAAATAAAAAGACCTCTTCATGAAACTATTTGGGAAGAATTCTTCCCAAGAAGAAAATCAGGGGGCTGGGAAGGTGGCTTGGTGGTATAGTGCTTGCTTTGCATACATGAGGCCCTGGGTTCGATTCCTCAGCACCACATAAGCAAAAAGAAAAAAGCCAGAAGTGGCGTTGTGGCTCCAGTGGTAGAACGCTAGCCTTGAGCTGAAGAGCTGAGGGACAGCGCCCAGGCCCAGAGTTCAGGCCCCACGACTGACCAAAAAAAAAACAAGAAGAAATTCAGGTGCAAAGCCTTCTGAATAAGGCTTACAGGTGGTGTCTTTTGAGATCAGAGGAGTAAGATAAGCAAGGGGTAAGAGATGAGGTCACAGCAGGGGCAAATCAGGAGGGGCTTGCTTGTCTGCCACTGCAGGAACTCTGGCTTTTACTGTGAGAGTTGAGAGCCACTGACAAATTCTGAGCAGAATGATCTTACATTTTAACAGGCTTAAGTGTGGAGGACAACACTGTGTCAAGAATAAAGGAGAGGGAGCCGGGCGCCAGTGGCTCACGCCTGTAATCCTAGCTACTCAGGAGGCTGAGATCTAAGGATCTCGGTTCAAAACCAGCCCAAGCAGAAAACTCTGTGAGACTCTTATCTCCAATAAATCACTCGAAAACCAGAAGTGGCGCTGTGGCTCAAGCGGTAGAGTACTCGTCTTGAGCTGAAGAGCTGAGGGATAGCGCCCAAGCCCAGAGTTCAAGCCCCACGACCAACCAAAAAATAAAATAAAAAGAATAGAGGAGAGAAAGGTGGCTCAGTGGTAGAGTGCTTGCCTTGCATGCATGAGGCCCTGAGTTCGATTCCTCAGCACCACATAAACAGAAAAAGCCAGAAGTGGCACTGTGGCTCAAGTGTAGAGCTCTAGCCTTGACCTGAAGAGGTGAGGGGCAGTGCCCAGGCCCAGAGTTCAGGCCCCACGGCTGACCAAATAAATAAATGTCATTAAAAAAAAAATAGAGGAGAAAGGATAGAAAGAAGGTACACCAACTAGAAGACTACTGTCATGATCTGAGTATATTAAGAGGATAGTCCAAATGAGAACAACAGCAAAGGAGGTGTGATGAAGTGGCCAGAATAATCTTGCTAGAATTCTAAGTTAATGCCTATCAAACTGCTAACGACTTGGAACATGAGAAAGAGGAATTAAAGCAGTTAATACTGAATTCTCAGTGCCCAGCATACACACATGTATGCTAGTGAATAACCAGCACATCCCTGCAGCTTGTCAAACCCCACAGTCTGTGTGTAGAGTCTCATCTTCCCACCTCAACTAATGATAGCAGTAACTTTTCTAGCTAAGATTTGAGCACTCAACAACATGTATCATGTAGGCCAAAACTAAATACTTAGCATGAGCTGGGTCATTAAAGCAACAGCCAAGTGAGGTGGGTATTTCCTGCACTTTACAGACCAAGACTCAAGACAGCACAGAGTTTGAACTTAAACTCTGACTTCTAACCACTTTACTAGCCCACACTTGTCAAATAAGCGAAGTAGTTGAGTCCCGTTCTTTCTTTTGGGCAAGTCTTTCCTGCTCTACGATTCCAACTTCTCATGTGTCCAATGGGAATCATAATACACAAACCAGGTAGTGATACAAAGACGTGACACCGCATCCCACAGTTGCCAACTTTAACACTGACGAAGTGCATTTTACAGAGTGCCATGGCCCTGTTGTAAAGTAGCCTTGGAAATTTAACTCTATGAAGCAGAATATA